TCAAATTAATTTATTCTTTAAAAATTATAACATGATACTATAATGTACATGTGTGACACAACCATATAGGTATGTTAGACGAAAAACATGGCACCGCAATAAATTATACGAGTACATAGATCTATCTATGTACAAAAAATGATATATATCAATATATCACATTATTTGCTATATGGCACAAGCAATTAAATTATTTCTTCGTTAAGCTTAACGTTTTATAGCTCCAGATTGAAATTTACATTTATCCATTTAAAAACAAATTAATTTCTATAACAATAATAAATTAAACTTGAACTTCAATCCTTAAAATCAGGCAGGGTTTTTTAAATAGTAGTTATAGATATGTTGTCATTTATAAACATAGGAATGAAGAGTTAATTTTTTTAATTTATTTCTTGGATCCAGTGTAAAAAATATACACCGTGATATTCATTTTTATTTTAATAAACTAGAAGTTACTTTTAAATTTTTAGTATCAACAAATAATTTGCTTTCAGATAATTATGAAACATTTAATGAAATAATTTCCAATGTTCTACAATAAATACATAGAATATTGTATATTGATCAACAATAAGTATTTGTTAAATTATTTAGGCCATACTGATAATATAGGTAATGTAATAATTGATATGATACAAGTGAGGATGTTATAGAATATAAATAATGTCTCTTATCAAATTAATAAAATATATTTTAGGTGAATAAAAAATAATTTTTGGTAAGATTATTAAAAAAGGTTTTTTAATGGTATTATTACATAAATAATTGGATATCACAAGTTTTTATAATTTATCTATAATTTCAGTAAGAGCGTATACAATTATAAAATAATCTAATAAACAAACATAAAATATTTGTAATTACTGCTCCCCTAGTAGTGCCACATAATCAAGAAAAATAATATATGCAAAAAAGTTTTACTTTTATCAACTTGCTTGTAAAAATGCTAGTACAACAATATTAACTGGACATTTATACTACTTAATGCTTAAGGTATTGAATTTACACTTGGGGAAGAAAAAAAAATGAAAGTAAAACCAAATATTACATTAATTATTCAAAGTCCTCTCAAATCAAAGTGATGTGTAATATGTACTAAAATATTTATATTGTTATAATTGTAAAATAATATTGAACAATTTTTGGTGACTAAAACTATAGTAACAATATTTAATCACTTTAAAATAAATACGTTTCATCATAATTCAAACTTAAATTTTTTTTTTTATGTTGAAGGTTTTTTCAATATCTTAAATTGACAATTTATATATTTTAATTGGGAAGACAACTAATCTCAAATAATTAAACCACTGTATATTTTATTTAAAAAAATTAATATTATTTTTAGTTGACATTAAAGCTGTTATTACATATTATTTCTGCCGATCAAATCATTTATTTACTCAATTCAGTATTCATTCACATTTTACAGTTATCGGCTATTGTGTTGTCGGTTGATTGTGTAATTAGTTACCTAATAATACAATTTTTTTTATTATTAAAATAATTAAATAAATTAAAAAAATTGTTACCTAATATATATGTAAACCATTTCAGTTGCAGTGTAATCTGTTATTATATATGGAATGAATTATCTATTTTAAGTGTAACAAAAGCAGTTCCTATATTTTTTTTTTCTTATTTATAAATGTATTTTTTTTTTAAGTAGCACATTTAAAATTAAAGTTTTTATTAAATCAAAATTCATAAATTTTCAATAGGGTGAAGATAAACTACTATTTCCTAACTTTTTGAATACCCTGTGAATTTGTGAATTAATAAACAAAAAGTTGTTTTTGTTAATTTTTATATAAAACGTATAAATAAAATTCAAGACAAGCTGAGTATCATAAAATAATTTTTATTATTAATTGGGTCATAAAATTCAAATGTCAAAACTTCATCTTACAAATAAATTCAACTAATTTAACAATAAACAAAATTCAATTTTTATTCCAAACGCATTTTTTTTTTTTTTTTTATACACAAATATAAGAGTATGAATTATTGAAATTTAATTTAATAAAATACAACACCAAACTTAATTATTATTATTATTTTATAGAAAAAATAAATAGCAAACTTAAATCTATTATGTATATAAATAAAATATTACTAAAATATAAATATAAAAATTGTTGACAAAAAAAAAAAAAAAAAACACATATTTTTTAAACTGTAATAGGTACTTAAATAGTTCTAAAAATATTATGGTACAAAATAACATTTGAAACTCAACAGTTTTGTTGATAACAGACATAACACCGGATATTTTTGGAATACGAACAATTGACCTCAACTATAGAGAGTGACAAGTGCTTTTAAAATTAATTATCGTTAATTTAATAGTTAGATAGAATATAAGATATAAATTTTATTGAAGTAATTCTATCTGAAACCATAAATTATAATTATACTTATATAATTATAAAAATTGCCCATATAAAGCCTAATTTAAAAATTTTTTGATTCAGGGAATTTTATAACATGAGGCCTATATGTGAAAATCCATTTTTAAACTTTTTTTTTTGAGGGGGCAAAAATGTCTTAACAATATGAGTTCTTGATCCCATTATATATACATTTTAATAAAACACAGTACACTTCATATTTGTACACTTGTTTATATAGATTTTTTTTAGCTCTTTGTGCAAAGTCATTAATGATGTTGTCTTATTCTTATTGTTTTGTTATTTCGTAGTTAATTGTAAGATCATCAGATTTTCTAATCTTTATTGTGATAAATACAATTTCAATCAAAAAAATTAACAAAATATATGAGGTCACTTAAAATTGGAGGTTTAAATAGTACTCGCCTAAATCAGGCTCTACGAAAAGAACAATTGTGTAAAGATAGTTAGTATAACAATGGAGGTTACAAAAAAAAAAAAAATTATAAAATATCAAAAATTTGCGGACTCTGTGGTAGTGATGATCTGGTCACTGTGATAGTCTGTCAAGAGGTGTAGAAAGGTTTTATTATTGAATAACCGACATGTTTTTGAAAGGTCACAGTTACTTTACTTGTGTAACATAAGTTGTGTTTTATTGCCAAAGAAAACGACGCAGTGGTATGATAAGTAAAAAAAAACAAATAGAATAAAAAGTTGATCGAAATATTGACATCTGTATAATCGAGTTAGTACTGTGGTACGAAGGAAAGAAAGCAGCTGAATCTACACAAGCAATGGTGGTTTATCTCAAAGATGGGCCTGTGTGCAAACCTTAAGAAAGGCCCCCTTCATTTTTTTTTATTCTAAAATTCTTATACAAATTCACAAGGTACTTTCCATTTTTATTAAAATTTCAATTACATAAAAAATAAGATGATATTACGTCATACAAATAAAATAACATAATATATCTATCAATAATGATAAAAAATATAGTACCTAATAATAATATAATAATTCAATGGAAATTTCGTTTGCATGCTTTTTTTTCTGCAAAATTATTAGTTATTTCTTTTAAATTTAACTGACGAGCTCGATCGTTTTCAATAGATAGAATTCCAAGTCCCCTGAACCTTTCTTCACACATTGTGCTTCGTAAATAATTTTTGATCAGTTTTAATTTTAAAAATGATCGTTCTGCTGTAACAATTGTTACAGGAAATCTCAAAAATAACATGCACGCTGTACATATTTCAGAAAACGTTGTTGCTAATGTGGGATTCTTTATAACAAGTAATTCGGTAATTGCTTTTACCGATGTTCGTTTTGTAATTTATTTTTTAAAACAAGATCTGAACGATAATATTGTCTATAATACGACGGCTTATAAGCGACAAGGCGATAACAAAAACCCACGGGAAACAGATTGCTGTAAATAACGTTTAGTCGTCGTCACAAAAGTATAGTACATACAATATCTATATTTTATAACAAAGATGATATTATAATTATACTGATATCAGATTGAGAAAATGAGAACCATTTGAAATAGAAAACAATTTTTTTATTTTTTCGTAAATAACTGTATTTGTTTAATTTTTCTTTTGTGGAACATTGAGCAATATAGACCCCTCCCCCCAAACCGAAGGTCTGTAGCATTTGCACACATCACACACATGTATCACACGCCACTAAACACAAGCTAAAGTAATGGTTGGGTCGGAACAACCAGTTCCATAGTTATATTAGATTTAAATATGCATTTACCTATATGTTCATTAAAGTTTTGTAGTTTAATACCAAATTCTGAAATAATAGATGTTTTAAATACCTTATTATGTGATATTAAATATTAATTTTTAATATTTTTAATTATTCTATTTACTGTAGTTTAATTATTCTTCTATATGTGCAACTCTTAGATGTCAAATGTCTTTGATTTTACTACGCTATGCAAATAGTATGCATGTACAGAGCCGGATTTAGTATTTTGTCGCCTATTGGTTATAATCCATAATACATTTGTCATGTAATTCTACACATGGATATTTTACTTCAAAAAGGCATAAATATATTTATTAATATATTGTGTCAAAATTAGGTTAAATTAAATTAGTAATTCTAATGATATTAGAAAATTACTATTTTATTAACAATTAACATATCAACTAATAATATTTGATCTGTTGTCACTTATGGCTACTTTTACATATTGCATATAAATACTACCAACTTGTCTTAAAGTTTAATTCACATATGGGTTCTAGTGTTCATTCGCGGGGTGTGGTCTTATGCATGTATGATTTCACAAAGTTTTTTAACAAAATAAATTGTCAAATTGTATTCAAATTGTTATTTACTTAAAATTTTGCTTTATCAAATAATAAAATTAAAAACTAATACTATAGGTTCTGTCTTTGGTATAAAAATAAATAAATAAATAAATTTCTATGAATTTAAAACTGGGTATAGTTTTCAAAAGGTTATAAGTTTCACTAAACTAAAAATATTTAAATAATAATCAGAAAAATTGCTGATAACACATACTTAAACATGAAAATTTTTTAAACTTAACTTTTTAAATTATTTTTTTATTTAAATTTACTACTGAGCACAACTACAACCATTTAATATGCATTTAAACTTTTCCATACTCAAATCGTCTTTTGCACAGTCCAAATCAATTGATTCAAAATAAAAATCATAATGCCAATCTTCATATAATGAATCCACCGTTTCCAAATATTGATAGAACTCATTACACTTTTCTTCATTTTTAAGTATTTTATAAAGATTAAACAATTTTTCTAAATTGACCATTAAAGCATGAAATGGAGGGGTATCATTGACATTTTTATCTATAATAAAATAATTTGGTTTATTATATAATTTGATACTTTAAAATAATTATATGATTTTGATTAAACTATTGTAACTTACAAATTTGTAATGATTGCAATAAACATTCTTCAGCCCGTTGAAAATTGTGAATATAATCTAAAAATAAAATACCCAATGACCTTAAAGGTCGAGCAACTTCAATGTGGTTTTCACCTAAAATTAATTTACTGATTTCAACTGCTTTTAAATTTACTTCTTCACTTAGCTGTAAACATATTAATAATAATAATAATAATAAATTCACTACTCTAAACAGAAAAATAATTTAAATATTACCAAAAAATTATCCTGATTTAAATAAAAAGTTCCTAGTGATTTGTATGCTTTTGCTGCAAGCACAGAGTGTTCTCCAACTGATAGCATAATACTGTTTAATCTATTTAAATGATAGGTATGAGCTTCTTTTAATATCATAAACTTCCACTGTGCCTCTATTTCATCTATATCATTACTAAGATCTGAAACAATGTATTTTTACTCTAAAAAATTTTCAATTTTTACCCTTTTTAACCCCCTTAAGGATTGCAATTTTAAAAATCCTTTCTTAACGGATTCCTAAGTCATAATAGATATCTGTATGCCAAATTTCAGCCCAATCCAATGGTTTAAGCTAAACATTGTTGATAATTCAGTCTGTCAGCTTACTATTTTATACAGTGTGTTCAACGATAAAGGTAACACGAAATATTTCGAACGCATGACCTTGTATGCAATTCGGGTTTTTTGTAATGTATAAAGGACATAAAATTACATTTATTTTTTTTAAGTGGCACCTCCCTTTTTTGAGTTCAAATTTGAATTATATGAATTTTTTCAAGCAAC